ATATATATATATATATATATATATATATATATATATATTGTTCCCTTACTGCCAGAAATGCAATTGTCTAGACCTCAGAAACAAAAAAAACTGAACTGCTGACTGAATTCCTAAAAACAGAAGACTTAATAAGAGGGACCTGGCTCATAGCAACTAGATAAGGTTGGTGGGTGTAGGCAATGGAAAGATCACCAGGCCAAAAATCTGGAGGCCTGAGATGAGGTCTGGACAAACCAGATCTCAGCTCCAGGTCTCTGGTTTCTTTCTTTCTTTTTAAATATTTTTTTAGTTGTTAATGGACCTTTATTTATATGTGGTGCCTAGAATCGAACCCAGTGCCTCACACATGCAAGGCAAGCGCTCTGCCACTGAGCTACAGCCCCAGTCCCGGATCTCCATTTCTTTAATTATAAAATATAAATAATGATACCCATATTTTATTGCGATCAAATGAGATAACAAACTTGAGAAGGCTTGGGAAACTATTAGGTACTTCACAATGCAATGCTCTGCTTGCTGTTGTCCATTTCAACCCCAATGACACTATAGAAAATTAAAGCTGAAGTTACCAAAAAAATGAGAAAAGATATGTAGCAATGCTGATTTCAACAAAGCCTTCTTTCTCTCCCCTGGTCCTTCTTCTAGCTCTCTTTTACTCAATCTTCCAGAAAAAAAAAAAAAAAAAAGCAAAAGTAATCATTGATCTTAACACTCCCTTCTAATAATCATGGCTTTTCTACATTTTCAACCACAATGTCTAAATTAGATAATCTAATCAATTGCTTACTAAGTGACAAAATCTGTATTAATTTTTTACCAAAATCATCAAGAAATTTTTTGCTTCTAGAGAAGTCTGAAGTTGGAATCAGGAGCTTCACATTTATCATTCACTGAACAAATAGTTATTCAGTTAAAACTTGTGCCACACACTGGGATTTGGAAATGAACAAGGAAGATGTTTCTCCTTTCCCAGGAAGCTCAGAGTCCAGTGAGGGCCATTGACTTATACTCTTATAGCTTAGAAACTAAAAACAATAGTTGACTAAGTTTGGCTCTACCTGCAACTCCCCTTCCATTATGCTGAGTAGCTGGATGAGATCTTCTTTGGATAACTCCAGAGATTTCTTAGGCTTTCGTTCACTTTCTCCAGATGGTTTTAGGTGTCGTTTGACAGTTCCTGAAGCCATGACATCATCCTCCTTCCTCTTTGATTTGTTCTTCTTTTTTGCATCTTCTGAGAGACTCTTATCATCAGCATTGCTGATGATGGAGGACTTGGGGCAGGAGATATGCCCGTTAGATGAACTTTCGCCACCTTGGTTTCGGGATCTCATTCCCACCTACAACATATTTTTAAAAAAAGAAAGATAAGCTTTTTTTTTTATCACCACCAAAAATATTTTTGTCAAAATACTTTTAGAAACATACGGCAGCTTTACAATGATGAAAAACAGATCAGTCACAGCTTCCTTATCACTTTAATGAATATGTTATTACAATCTTAAGAAAAATGCTTGGTCTTCAGGAAAAAGTGAAAACATGACTCTAAACTGACAAACATCTCAGGCCAAAAGATCACGATCATGATCAACATGAACTAAGCTTTATAGATGGTATATGAACCCAGCCAACCCCTTTACAACAAACATACTGAGCTCAAAGGTTATCACTCCAAGTGCCATGAAGAGTGTTCTAACATCCTGGGACTGTACTACAAAATTTCTGTAAGCCCTTAAATATAGTAGTTTAGCACATGGGCTTATTTAAGACTCGTGGTATGAACAACTAAACAAGATTTTCACTATTCATTCCAGATAAAATGAAGGACTTTGCTATCTAAAAGTAAATTCCTTTTATGAACCCTGCCATATGTAAGGAAATTATTTTAAAACATTAGGTTTATAACAGAAAAATAAACACAGCAATGTTTCCTTTCAGATAGTGAATTTTCAATTCTTTCAATGAATCTTGAAATTTATATTTATGTTCCTTTTTTTGGATTGAACTCTAATAATAAACAGACTCTTCTATGCATGTGTGAACTTTCTACAGCACACTAATTTTATTTTTGTGTGTGTGGTTTTTAAATTTTTTTAATTTGTTTTAATTAGTTACACGTGACAGTACAATGACCTTGACATATCATATCAGATGGGATATAATTTCTTATTTTTCTGAGTGTACAGGTTGCAGAATCACATTGGTCATGCAGTCATGTATATATACACACAGCAATAATAATGTCTATTTTATTCTACTGTAATATAATCTGAAGAAGCGGCATCTTGTTTTTGGTTCACTCAGTGATTGGTTCTCAATTTTAGAATCTCTTTCGTGCTTCCTTGGTGAAAAAAGAATATAATGGAGGCCAAACCACTGTAGAGAAGACCTACTGTATTTCATCACAGCTTGTTTCTGGGCAGAGTGGGCTAACTTAAGCCAGAAGAAGGAGGAGGAAGTAGAAGAGGAGGGATAGAAGGGCGAAGAGCGGGAGGAGGAGGGGGAGGAGAAGATGAGAAAAAATGAGGTGATAAACAGAGTTTCAAAATTAACTCAAGACCTGTTCCACATCACAATTCAGACACATGGCTTCCCAAACTGAATTATGATTCCCTACAACGCATGTGAGTTCTTTTTATCTGAAGTAATTTTCTCTATAAGATCTTCAGGCTCTTTGAGATGATGAATCAAATATTAATTGGACAACTTTAATTTAGGTCAAGAGTTAATAGAAATACCAGACAAGAGTTCCCAAAGCACAAGAAGTGAGGTGATAATGGTTAAACTTAATTACAGCCTTAGTCATGCACAGTATTTGTATGTGACTATATTGTGTATTTGTGCCTCATCCTCCCTGAGTCCTCTTTTATAGGCCTCATAATATAAGGACATGTCTAAGAAAGAACAAATGCATAATTGTCTATTATAGGTATTTACTAAACACAATTATATTTGCAAACAGTCAGAAAATGGAATCTACTTAGTATCAATTTTGTATTTAGTTCTTTCTAAAATTTTCAGTCTGAAGTTAATGTTGTAAAATAAATTTTATGATACTATAATATTAATGGCTTTTCCAGAAAGAAAAACTACACATTTTAGAATTGTCTAATTATTACATATCACTAATCAAGTTAAAAGCTTGAGTTCCCTGTTCCCTTCCAGATTAATTTACTTTGGCTGGTGGAAAATCTCATGTGGTAGACCCACAACGTTAAGTCTGTCTTAGCAAATATTTTTCTTCTGTGTCACTGAAATTTCACATTAATTACTTTTCCTTTGGCATGTACACACTGATTTTAGTCCTTTCATAGTAAGCCGACTACAGTCTTCTATCTTTATCTCCATGACAAAGTCAGCAACCAATCCCTGTCCTATCTCTGACATGCAAGAGCACTCATTGATAACACACTTGTCAAGAAAGTTTTAGGAAAAAATTGGCATCTCTGAGGGGGGAAATAAAGCCCCACAATTTCTCAATAGTCTAAGTCTGCTATCAATAATATCCATTTTACACCACTTCAATCTGTTTTGCAGTGGCAAAATATCTAGACAATAGTGGATTTCCATGTATCACATTTAGTGAAATTTAGACTCTTATTTTTAATAGTTCTCACTGTTTCTTAAGTGTTATACAATGTCTGAAGCACATATTTTAATATGTATATAACTCCTCTGAAGTCAGTGCTATTATTTTCAGGTTTATGGATGAGGTCATTGAGGTTTAGAAAGATTATATATCTTTTCCTGGATCACCAGCTACTCCCAGTAAATAGAAAAGCTAGGATTTGAACTCATATCTGACTAAAAAAAATGTATTCACTGTATGGCTTTCCTCTAAGTTCTTCAATACATGCAAACTGGAAGTGGGGAGGACACCTGGTAAATAGAGGACCAAGAAAAATGTACAAATACTCATGGATTAATGTTTTATCACTCCACACTACAGAATTTGAGAAATCTATGCATATGACCTCCCCATAGACACTCCAGCAAAATCCCTATAGCAATTGCAATTAGGTTACTAAGTAAAAGAACATTTTCTAAAACCATTAACCTGCTATAGAATTGTAAAATGATGAGTCATTAAAAAAACTTCCTCACAATCAACCTAGCCAGTTATTAAGGGTACAGGTTATTAAAACAGGATGCAAAGTCTGAACAGGGACCATGACAAACTTACTATGTTAAAAGCCCCAAAGTTGAACAATCATAAACATTTAATCAGAATTAGTGAAATTCTATCCACCATGCTTAGAGGGTTAGCAGGCAGGTGCAGGACAGGCATCTGGAACTCCATAGGCTTCCTAATAGTGGAAGGCATGGTTGCAAGTTTAGGACATGAAGATAACAAACTTTCTGGAAGAATCCAAGAATACTTTTGCTTCATCACAGGTTATATCCTTTGAAAAACGTTCTCCTCAAGAAAAAGCACAATGAACTGACGGTTCATATCAGGTTTTGTAGCTTTTTAAAATTGATGTTATTTGGGCCATATAGTCTCTTCTTACATAAGTGAATTAGTTAGCATAGTTCATGAAATATATTGACTCTCTCTTAGTAATCAGTCAGCAATGCTCTGCCTGGAATTTGCTGACTGGATTGGGAAGAAAGGGAAGACCAAATGTTATTCTGAGCATCCTCTTTTTATCTATGACCATCTCTTCTTCATTACCCTTTCCTCCCACACATTGGACAGTGAGAGCGTACTATCAGGTAAGTAATGTGACAGGAATAAAAAAAATAAAGATTTGGATTAATTTATGTTGAATGAATAAGTAATACTAGAGCATTTGAATAAGTAAAAAGAAAAGGAAAGGAAAACATCTACAGCAATTTCATGTCCATGCTTCCTTGACTCCTACAGATCTTAACCTTGAACTTTTCCTTGCTTTCTCACTCTTGCCCTTGCCCATGTCATGTTTGTCTTATCCTGTTATGATTCAACATTAGTCAAAATATTCCTCTCCCCACCACCACTAAAACACTTTTCTGCATAAATTAGGTTTTTTTAATTAATCAATTTATTTTAATTAGGTATATATGACAACAGAATGCATTTTGATTCATTGTACACAATTGCAGCACAACTTTACATTTCTATGGTTGTACACGATGTAGCGTTGCACCATATGTACAGTCATACATGTACCTAGGATGCCCATCTCATTCCACCATATTTCCTGCACCCATGCACCCTCTCTACCCTCCCTACCCTTTGCCCAGTATAAATAAATCTCTAAATAAAACATTAAAAAACAGAGTTGGGGATGTGGCTTAGTGGTCAAGTGCCCCTAAGTTCAATCCCCAGTACCCTCCCCAAAAAATTACTTTATAGAATTATAAGGAAAAAGTCTATTGCGTAGTAAAGAACAAAGTACATAATTACAGAAAAAAAACCTGTATTTTACAGTGTGGCCTGGCAAAAGGTCCGTGGCAAGGGGGCCTCTAGAACATCACTACAGAACTGTCTGCATTCTTTCTTTTAAGAATAATGACAATACCCAAAGCACACAAAACTAAAGGCAAAAGAAAACATCTATTCTAGTTTTATGTCATCCATGAATTTTAACATGAAAAAGACAAATCAAATCAACTAGTTTATTCTTTATCAATTCCAGATTACTTCTTGTGTGGATCTTATTTACTTGGTCAAATCTGCTCACAGATATCCAAAATCATGAAATGTTCAGACGTTTCTCATGAGAGTATCACTTATTCTAACAGCATGTACTCTTCAGATAGATTCCCAGGTTTGCCTCTAAATCTGGAAAATTTTTACAATTTTCTCTACTTCTCTTCATTCTACTTATGTAACAAGTCATATTAAATGATTTTTTACTTTTCATTATCTACATTCGTTAAATCCTCAAAATAACCAGGTTTTTTCTTATTTAAAATATTTTTATTCTACTAAGGCAGATGTAGCCAGACAAATTGAAAATTCTTTTAAATAACCTCACAAAATTTTAGAATTCAAGAAAGAGGATTCTCTTGGAGTCACTGCAGTCATGTTGTAATAAAAAAAAGCCAAAGAAAATATTATAACTGTGGCAAAAAAGAAAAATATTATTCTACCCGAGCTTAAAACTATGGCGAAAAATATTTTATAAAGTTCTTTTTAATATCCTTCAAGGATGATATCAGCAGACCAAAAAAAGTTTTCCAGAAAAAAAAGGAACAAGAAAATAGGACAGGGAAATTGTTTTGATTTGGATGTGAGATGTCCCCCAAAAACTCATTGGGAGACAACGCAGAAAGGTTTAGAGATGAAATGATTGGGCTATAAGAGCCTTAACCCAATCAGTGAATTAGTCCCCTGATGAGATTAACTGAGTGG